TTTTTTTTTTTTTTAGTTCTTCATATATTCTAGATACAAGTTCTCTATCAGACAAGTAGGTACTGGCAAAGACTTGCTCCCATTCTGTAGGTTGTCTCCTTACTCTGTTGATCGTTTCCTTTGCTGTGTAGAAGCTTTTTAATTTCACGAAATCCTGTTTCTTGGTTCTCAATACTATTTCCTATGCTCTTGAAGTTCTCTTTGGACATCTCTGCCTGCGCCATGGTGTTATGGTTTATATGTGGGTGTTTTCCCACAGCCTCAGGCTCTCATAGGTGGGGCTTTTGGAGAGTTTTTGGGTTATAGGGGCTTAAGTGATTATGACTGCTGGGAGAGGTAGATCGCTATGGTGTGGCCCGGAAGGGTTTATCTACACCCAGCTCCACTGCCTTGGAGCCAGCGACTATGGACTGAAACCTCCACAAACTGTGAGTGAAATAAACCTTTCCTCCTTTAATCTGCAGGTGTCTGGTATTGTACCTCAGTGACTGAGACATGGCGTCACGTGTTCTGCCTATGTTATCTTCAAAGAATTTCAGAGTTTCTGTTTCTACATCTATGTCTTTGACCACTTTGGTGTGATTTTTGTAATAATAGTACAGGGTAAGAGTTGGAGACGTATTTTCAGATTTCTGCAAGTGGATATCCAGTCTGCCCAGTACTAAGTAGGCTCTCTTTATTAAGTAGGCTCTCTTTTTCCCAACATGTTTTGGTCCTTTGTTTGAAAATGCCTAGGGACCTGGGTTCTGTGCCTTCTGCTCTATTTCACATACATGTCTATTTTGGTGCCCACACTGTGTTGTTTCTGTTAGTACAGCTTCATAGTATAACTTGGGATTCTGTATTATGATGTCTCCAGCTTTGCTCTTTTGTTCAGGACTACTTTGGCTATCCTGGGTCTTTTCTCCTTGTCCACTCCATGCCAGGAACCCAGGGCCTCATGCAGGGTAGGTGAGGAGAACTGAACCACTGAGCTAGGTCTGCAGCCTGTTCTGAGTCTCTTCTCATTCCATGTGAATTTGAGGGCTCTTTTTTCCTAGCTCCATGATGAATGTCATTAGAACTTCAGTAGGGATTCTATTGAGCCCATACATTGCTTTTGGTAATCAGTTTATTATTGGCCTTTTCTCAGTGTGCTGGGTTTTCCCACATCACAGGGGCATTGGAGCAGTGTCAGGTTTAAGCCTGACATTGTGTATTTCACAAGTGTCCCTGCAGAAATTAGTTCTGCTAATCTCTAGCAAAAGAGCAATTCTATATACTGATATTCTTTGTTATCCTGCACCAATTTCTGCTGCTTTCATGGGGAGGGAAGGTCCCTAACATTTAAAAAACCAAGGTGGGGAAAGAGGCAACCAAGGATCTAAATGTTTATTGCTTTCCAATAGCTGAAGTCCCCTAGCTGGTAGTATGCAAACACTCTCACTAAAGGATGTTGTTTATGTTATGCCTGACCTTCATGGCATATTCAGACTGGTGACTGGCGACCCACTGTGTCTCTTCTAAGCCCATTGCACCCTTTCCCTGCTGTGCGATTCCAGTTATGTGGTTATCCCGGCAAGGCTGGGAGGTTATTAGGGGCTGGGAGCCTCTTGTGTGGATTCTGAGAGTTCAAAAAATCCAGATGCCTTCCATAGTCACTTGTAACAGATTTGTGATATTGTCGTGATTTTAAATTAGTCTTAATGAGTAAACATAATTAATTTACTACGTGGTGAATGAACAATACTGAAAAGGTTCACTGTTGTCTACTACAGGAATTATCATAAAATTAGAATGAAGTAGGTTTATTCTTTCACTTTTAGAGCATAGAAGTATGCTCTTAAGAAGTATGCTCTTGGTTTAAGAAATTTTATTTGGCCAACCCGTTATCATTTGATTAAAACAAATATTATTTCCTTGCACCAAATCCAAAATTCTTAAGGTTAGAAAAAAAAAAGAGTGATTTGTAGCATCATGTTCTTGTTCCTTTTTTTAAAATTCCAGTGACTCTATTTCAAAGGGTAGTATGAAAAATTTCAAGAGCTATTCAAAATAAAATTATTTTTAACTGATTTTCATTGACAGTTCAAATTCAACATCATTTTTCTTCCCCAATATTTTTGGTCATTATTGTTATATTGGAGCTTCATGCATGCTGAGCATGTGCTATATCATTGAGCTGTATTATACCCCCACTCGCAATATCATTTTATGTTGTGTACACAGACACACACACTCACACGCATCCATGCATGCACACCAGTGAAGTATTTAGCTCGTTTAAGATTGAGTATCATCCACTTATCAGATAAGGCAGAAAAGTTGACATCTGAGCATTCTGATTTACTGAATGCCTTTACTGGATGACCTTGGACAGGTCATTCAAACCTTCAGATTTGGTTTCCTTATCTCTAAGACAGACAGATCCATCCATCCCCTATTCTGATGTCATAGGATGTGGTTTTACAAATAGCAGAGTGTGCGCCAACATCTTGAGTCCTTGAGAAATGAACCGCATTTAATCCAATCAATGAAGATCCTTTTCTTGTTCTTTAGAGAGAGAGAGACACCCTGTAAAAGCCTAGCAGATAATGCTGGCTAATAAGATATTCACACCTACACTGCTTAGCCATTCCCTGAGTCCGTGGGACTGTGACTTGTGGATGGCAGGTTCTACTTGCTTGGTGATTGTACTCTTTAATAAGTTTATCCAGAAAGTACAAGGTTGGAAAATGATTGTGTCATATGCATAGCTACACTCAAATATGTGTAAAGAGTTTTCTTAATAAAAACAAATTATTTTCAAAAATTTGGTTTGGTGGGAAATAAAAACTACCATTTATATTCAAAAAGAGTGTTTCCCTCAAAGAGTGTGGAGTTGTGGATTCTATAAAAGTTGCAAAGGGGCTGGGGATTTAGCTCAGTGGCATAAATACCTGCCCGGCAGGCGCGAGGTTATGAGTTTGATACCAGGTACAAAAAAAAAAAAGAATTTATAATGAATATTGTGAATTTCCCATCTTCAAACAGAGCTTAAACCAAGTTAGCATGTCACAGATAAAACAAGATTCTTCCACAGATCCTTCAACTTTCTTAAAAAACAAGGCCTAGGGTAGCAGAGTGGTTGAGGGAATTAAGAGGCCATGGGTTTTTAAGACTTGCAAACCAGTGTTTGCTTTCTGGCGACGTTGACCAAGCTGGTGTGTATTTTATTTTTGTTTTATCTGTGGATTGAAAATAATCATACTACTTGTTACTGGAATTATACTGAAGATTAACCTTTTTTAGTAAAGAATATTTCCACTGCAATTTGGAGGGCTACGGACACCTTACCAAGTAGGTGTGGCTTTTAATTCATTCTTAGTTTGCCCTTTGGGAACTTTTAAGGGTGGCAGATGGAAACAGATGCTTTATACAGTGACCTGGGTCTTTAAGGATTATTATTTCATCCTCTCACGTCATTGTTCTTTTATGAGGAAAATGGGCTATTTTGACCGATTTCAAGGCAGCAAGGCTGCCGTTTGCTCCTCAGAGGGAATGTTTGTTCCCATTTAGTTTGGAGACCTGCAGGCTTTTCCACCTGAGGTCTGGACTCTGTACCCTGAGAGCCCTAGAGCTTATCAGGAGCACAGAGGAGTCTCTCGGGCTATAGCTTGCTTGAATTTTATCCGTAGCTAATCACTAAGAAAACAAAAGAAAAATGAACAAAAACACATATTTTCTTTGATTCTTATGTAACCCTAGCTACCTGTCTCCAAGCCTGCTAAGTCTCGCTTCCTGCCTAACAGCTGCATTCCATGTTCTAACTTTTCCCTCCTTTTTTGTGCCCGAGGGCTCTCTGCTTTCTTTTCTGTTGTTCTCTTCTGACGTCTTCTTTCTGGCATGATCCTAACATTTCAAAGCCTCCTCTGAATTAATTCACTTCTCCCAGTCCCTCAAATGCACATACATGTACACTACCAAATCTGACTTCTTTTGTTCTTTTTCCTTCTATCCTTTCCTTTCCTTTCCTCTTCCTGTCTTTTTTTTTTCCCCCTTAGGTGCTGGAGATCAAACCCAGGGCCTCACAGGAGACAGCAATTGCTGTACCGCTCAGCTACCTCTTCCCCCCACAACGGATATTTTTTTTAAATGACAGGTCCTTGGTCCTTGCTTCATGCAGATACACAGGGGTTTCAGACCAACAAAACATCAGTTCTGAAGAAAACACATTGAATGGCCCGTAAAGTGTACAATTAAAAATTCTAACGATCACTGTTCTGTGTGTTACCAGAACGTAGAGGAAGCAGAATCTGTACTCTCCACTCTCTCAGGTTACATGCCTGGGGACTATGAACTTACACACCGTTTTAATAACGGGTCACACACTGTGGAGAAGCAATTAGACAAAGGAAGAGAGCAGGTGTAAGTCATGAGAAATGGATGGTGAGGCAGGTCTGTGTGGTCAGGGTTAGGCAGACTCACGTCCTTACAGTCTGCAGTGCTTAAGAACCTTCTCTTCCTGGCATGGGACGGAGGGGAAGCTGGAAATAGGTGGAAGTTTCCTTGATGGATGGGATATTTATGTCCATTTCAGGCAAGTGAAGCTCCTTTTGTGACTGCTGTTTCTCAGTACCTCGAAATAATCCCTAGGCCACAGAGACATATTTTGAGTGATATATTCTGATCTCTTCAAGAACAATACTTGGGGAAACATGTTGAATTCAATAAGAATCTAAAAGGCAAATATATATTCAACTACAGTCCTGCCAGGGCATGATCAGACATAGCTATGTAAGTTCTTGTCCCCTCAGCCACTGCTCAGCCTTGAAACCCAGAGAGCACACCTCTTAGTATGACATACTCTCTCCTACTTTGTTTGCATGAAGATGGGATTATTTTGTTGATTTACTAAACAGGAGCAGTGAGACTCAACTTCTACTTGTGTTCAGAACAAGATGCCTGGAGGGCAAGAGGGAGGGCTGCCTTGCACTTACAGATTGTCACATGTTTATCTGTTTTGGCCTTCTCTTTGACAGCAGCAGCGTGCAGGGTCACATTCAGCCGGCCCCCCATGTCAGTGGTTTAGGATGGCCAGTGAAGCCACCAACATCCCAAGCCCCGTGGTGCGCCAGATCGACAAACAGTTTCTGATTTGCAGTATATGCCTGGAACGGTACAAGAATCCCAAGGTTCTTCCCTGCCTGCACACTTTCTGCGAGAGGTAAGCTGCTCCCGTGCTCCTGGAAGGACTCGCATGGACTCTTGCCATGGGCTACAGGACTTGTTCCCAGAATTCTACCATTACCCCAGAGACAACGAGTCTCTGTCCTCCTGACGGACATCCCGAAACCAAATCATGAGCTTCCAGGAACTTAATTGATTTCAGACACTTGCAAGGAGGAGAAAGCAAACCCAAGTCAGCTACTACGGGTTCATTTCCAAAGGAGACATAGCATTAACTGTTTCAGGATTAAATGTTTTCTGGGATTCTGTTTTTGTTTTGTTCTTGGTGGAACAGTTTTGCTGACAGCTGTTTCCTTACAGTGTCCTTCCTGAGGCTGGTTACAGATTCATCATTTCCCCCTATGGCAGGTAGTGAAATACCTGCACACAAAAGGGGCCCTTCAGACCAACCCTAGGGCCTTTGCACTGAGCTCTATCCCCAGCTGTTCATTTAGTCACTCATTTATAGACAGGGTCTTGCTAAGTTGCTCAAGCTGGACTGGAACTTGTGAGCCTCCTCCCAGCCTCTCAGGGCACTGGGTTACAGGTGTGCGCCCTGTGGCTTATAGGTGTGTGCCCCCCTGTGTTATAGGTATGTGCTCTGTGGATTTATATGTGTGCCCCATGGGTTATAAGTGTGTGCTCCCATGGGTTACAGGTGTACAGCCCCATGGGTTACAGGTGTGCACCCTCATGGGTTACAGGTGTGTGCCCCCGTGGGTTACAGATGTACGCCCAGTGGGTTATAGGGGTACACCCTCATGTGTTACAGGCTTGTGCCCCCATTGGTTACAGGTGTACGGCCCCATGGGTTACAGATGTGTGCCCAATGGATTATAGGTATGCGTCCCAGGGGTTACAGGTATATGGCCCCATGGTTTACAGGTGTACAGCCCCACCCATGATGGGTTCTATTGATTCTTCCTGAGAGGGTGTGTTTTTGGAAAGGGGTGTGAGTTGGTTATCAAAAGGTACTGTTCCCTATTGTTTAACTTAACCACATAAGAAATTAGGTATTGTAATTTATCAGTGGCCTAATACAAGTAATTTTTAAAATTTGTATTGCTGCATTAGTGTGACAGACTGAAAGAAAAAGAATGTATATGTCTCTCTGTGTGTGTGTGTGTGTGTGTGTGTGTGTGTGTGTGTATGAATGGATATTAAAAATAGTTAAGATAGCTGTACAACTGATTTCTCTGAGTTTGCTGAAGAGAAAGATTTGTAGTGGGATTGTTTGGACGATTGAATGCAGAGGTCTTGTGCTCTGGGTGAACGATTTGGAGATGACAATGTATCATTGTTACCCTGACTGATGTACTTTAAATTTTTGTTATAACTTTTTTTCTTTCTTCATCTTTCCTTTTTTCTTTTTATCGGAAGTTATCCTTCCTTGCTTTGGGAGTAATCGAGAAGGGAATTATCCTGGCCGGCGTGGTGGCACATACCTGTAATGCCAACACTTGGGAGGCTGAGGCCGGAGGATCGCTATAAGTTCTAGGCCAACCTGGGCTACAAAACAAGTGTGAGGCCAGCTTGTGCTGCATAGGAAACCTGTCTGTGGAGGTTTCAGTCCATAATCAGCTGGCTCGAAGGCAGGGTGGCATGGTTTTGGGGTAACACTTCAAGGCAGCAGCCAGATCCTAATTTAAGTATTTTCTTAGTAGGTTATGTGTTTTTCTTAAAAACAATTATGGTAGTTACATATTATAGCACTTTGCTAGGTGAGTTTTCTATACTGTATTATCTAAAATACATACTTAAAATATTTTGCTTCTAATTATAGAACAGGAAATCAGGACTTCTAGTGGCTTCAAATATATACTGACTACCTTTACTGATTACCTTTATTGGTTTCCTGGAACATCTGCTTGATGGTTTTTGAGTTGATGGAGGCCTCCAGTGCACAAGAATAACCACATCCTTAGTAGCGGTGATGGGTACAGAGGGAAAATAGATTTGTTACTGATAGCTGTGGTGTTTAGTCCTTTGTGATTGTCATGCATGTGTGTTGATAGATTTGTTTCGCTGTTTTAGTGGTATTACATAACACACCAAAATTTTACATTTTACACTGACTTAATTTATGTGAAAATGCTTTGTAATTAATGTTCTAAGTTAATTAAACAGAGTACAATTTTCCCCCCACCCCTTGATGGATGTAGTTAAAATGTCAGTACCCCCCAACTGTCTGAGGGTCCCTGTGGCACGTGCAGTGAAACTTGACCCCTATTTGGTTTGGAGCACGTGCCACAGCCTGGCTTTTTATACACCACACCAGCTCCTCAGTCTGAGCTCGGCACAGTGACTTGTCTGTGTTGTGGGTCCTCTGACTTCTCTCCAGCAGGTAAGAAGCACCACTTTGGAGTAGCCCTGGGTCTGGCCCTACCTGCCTCTGTTTCCCATCCAGCAGCAAGCGGCAGTGACTGCCGAGGTCCTCCCATAGTGAGTACCCGTGGAAGGCCGTGCTCTCAAATTGTCCTAGCGTCATGCACACTGAAATACTTCTTTTTGAAAGTGATGGTGGCTTTTCCTTAAAATGGGAAGATGTTGTTTCTATAAAGACAGAACTTCACTGTTCTGGTGGAGGAGCTTGTCATTCATCCCCTAATTGCTCAGATTAATGTGAAAGTAAACTGCAGACAAATGCTACCCACCAGCATTATCCAGACTACCCCATAACAGGGCATTTGCCCCAATCAGAGAAGGTTTTCCTGCAGAAGTGAATGCTAAGCAGCAACCCCAAGTGTGAGTGAAAATGAAGCAAAGGGGAATGAACAAGTAGGAGGAACAACTCTCAGGTACATTCAGCATTGCTGTCATAGAGGGGCCATGACACGTGGGAGGAACCCGAGCCCACCGTGCACTGGGCAGCCAGTGTGAGGAAGAGAGAACAAAGCTGAAACTCGAGCTCACATCAGGTGTGGTGTGTGTGCTTCCCTGTGGGTTGTTATTTGTGACACAGGAGCAGTGGAGGCCATGGGAGAGTCTTCATGTGAATAGGAGGAGAGGGAGAGTCAAATCATTACTTGTAAATTTTAAAGTGATTCTGGCTGCCTTGTAAGGGAGGGCTAGAGATACAAAGGAGATGACAGCACACCAGGTCGAAGGCTGCTCAGGAACTCTAGAAAGAGTGGTGTAAGGGATGAAAGAACTGGAGAGGCCAAAAAGACAAGGAATTGACCAGCTCTGCTGCTGGGTTAGATGGGGGAAATGCAGAAGATGGGAGCTACTGTTTATGAATGACTCTTAGATTCTGGTTTGCTTAGCTCCATGATGGCGAACCTCTTAGAGCTTTCAGTGATAACAAGAGCCCATTGTGGCACACGTGCCATAGGTTCACCACCACTGGCTTAGAGGAGTAGACAGGAGTGACGGCTATCCAGATGGGGAGAGGACACAGTTGGGGGAAGATCATTGGTTCAGACATGCTGAGCTCTGGGACCTGTGAGGTCTCTAGAGGAAGCTGTCGGCAGGGGAGTTGGCCTGCAGATGGTCAGCAGAGACATCTGTGGGAAAAAACCTAAGTGTAAATGTGGAGTCCTGCCTATTGCCGAGTACATGGATTTAATATTGCAGGAGAAAAGAGCTCTCAGGATGAAGCCTTGACCAAAACCAAATTTCATCAACTCAGAAAAGATAGAACAGATAGAAGTGGGACCAAAGGAGTGCGGTGTCATAAAGACAAGGGAAAATAAAATGGCAAAAGAGGTCACATTTGATGGATGCCATTGAGACTGAGACGTCATGTAAGATAGGACTGAAATATGATAGGTTTCAGTATCATTAATGACCTTCGCAAAGGCTGTCTTATTTCTGGTATTGAGAGATCAATGAACTCTCGTTGACATCGGTTTTCTCCATCCTCAAAATAAGGGAATGGATTTCAAATTCATTGGCTAAGCAACTGGAAAACCCTGAATAATCCAGTTAGTTGGTTTTTTTTGTAGTGCTAGGGATGGGACTGAGGACCCTCTGTGCTAAGTGACCATCCTACTGCTGAGCTACACACTCAGCCCCAGGTCTAAGTGCATAGAGATTAGATGATGGGGTCGAACTGCCTGACCAGTGGGGTACCCTTGGGGGGTCCTTTATCCCCTCTGCCGGAGCCTAATAGCATTTTCTCCCTAGGTTCTTGGAAGAACAGAGTGAGCAGTAATATACTGGTCACCAATAGTAATACAGTTCCTTAATCAAATAAGTGAAGTCGGTGCCTGTAGAGAAGAGATATAGACATAGACTTTTGAATCCAGGTGTCTCATCCCTGCTGCAACCAAATATTTCCATTCCGATGGTTTTTAATATCTAGTTGTGATTTTGTATGTAGAATTAATGTCAGTGTTAACCCAAACATGCGACCTGTTTTTGCCAGTTGTAACAGTCACACAGATGTGAGCCCATTGCCAGGGTCTCTCATGAATGTGTGTTCCAGTAGCCTGGGACCTGATTCCCGGGGAGGCTAAGGCTGCTCATCCCAGTTCCACATCCTTGTGCCAAGGGTCTAGAAAACACCATGGAAGTCACTGACAGTTTTCTTTTCCTTGCACGTGACCAGGAGCATTGTCTGACCATCTGACAGGGCCAGTGCGAGGTCAGGTTCGCTCATGGTTTCTGAACTGTTTCCTAAGCCAAGGGCTTAGTGGAAGATATTCGTGCAAAACCACCCGGCAGTTTCTGACAATGACACCTGCAAGAAGTGGGGCAGCTCCATCCTGACTGCCCTCCACCTGGGTCTCCCCTCCAACAGGTGCCTGCAGAACTACATTCCTGCCCACAGCTTAACCCTGTCCTGCCCGGTGTGCCGCCAGACCTCCATCCTGCCCGAGAAAGGGGTGGCCGCGCTCCAGAACAACTTCTTCATTACGAACCTCATGGACGTGCTGCAGCGGACGCCGGGCAGCAACGTCGAGGAGTCTTCCATCCTGGAGACGGTGACCGCTGTGGCTGCAGGAAAGCCTCTCTCTTGCCCGAACCACGATGGGAACGTAAGTGGAACAGATGGACTGCGGGTGCTGCCCGGCAGCCTGGTGGCTGTGGCTGGGATGGGTTTTGGGCACATCAGTGATGGGCAGTAAGGCAGAGCTCCACCTGGAATTTGAGTGATTGCAAAGGTGGTTTTGTTTTGTTTTTCACTAACCCTTAGACTATTTGGCTTGCTTACTTTCTATGATCAGAATTATTCAAATAATGAAATCCATCTTTACTGTGTTTGCTTAGTGTATATTGTTGGTATCCTTAGGAAAGCAAGTTAGCAGCTATTTGCAAGCTGCTCATTCTTTAACCTGCAGAAACATGTGTGTCATCAATTCTGTATAAAAATTTAATAATGGGTAAGTTCTGCAAATTGAGTGATTATTAAAATGTTAATGAACTAGATTTGTTTATTTTTCTTGTGGAGGAAAAATTTTTTTCATTTTCCCTTAGACTTTATTCCTTAATTCCTCTGATAATAGATTACAGATTGCAAACATATTTCCCGCTACTCGAAAGTACAAAACTGTGACAGAATCAGGACCTGTATGGTATCCAAGAACTGATTCATGAGAATTCTCTTTCCAGAACAGGCGGATCCCACTGTGGCTAGGAGCTCTGCCTCTGAAGCCAGGCTGCCTGATTCAAATCTTGTTCTTGAAATGGTGCCTTCAACCCACTTTGGCAAGTTTGTAAAACTCTCTATGGCTCATTTACCCTTTGGCAAAAAGAAGCAGTAGTAGTATTTCCCATATATGATTATTGGAAAAATATTTAAATCATATTAAGAGCAGAGTAAGCTCTTGATAAAAATTAGCTACTCGAATTATTTCTTGGGGGTTCTGGTGCAGCTCAGCGATTATCTGGCAAGCAAGAGCTCTGGGCTCAAGCTCCAGCATTGTAGGAAAAAAATATATAATAAAACTACGTATAATATGCATATAAAATTGCTACTAGTAATTGATTTTAGTGCTAGGGATTGAACTGAAGGCTTTGCACAAGCAAAGTACAGATCTACTGCTCAGTTATATCCCCCGCCCTAATATTATTTCTAATTAATGACCTTCCTCATTTCTTTCCTTCTATATTGCTCACTTTAAAAGTATGTGAAACTGCTTATAATAATAAAAGTCCTATGTACAATAAAACTGCTAAGGCAAGTGATCTTTAAGCCTAGCAATTACTAGTGGCCACCACTGTTTTATGACTGCATCTCTGCCCACTAGCATAGCAACCTGCTGGCCAAATTGTTTTCCATCTCCAGGCCTGTCCGTCCTTTCTGCTTGGGAGGGCTTTGTTCCTGCTTTGTGTGGCTGACTCGTTCTCATCTTTGAGCTCTGTGTGCAGAGCAGCCCTCCCTGACAGTACCCGTGGGCCATGTGACACTCCTCTCCTGGCACATCGTCTCCTTCGCAGCTGCATGGTACCCACCCGTCACCCTGTGCATTGTTTAGCCGTGGGTCCTCCTTCTTTCCTTCTAGAGGATGAGCTCCAGGAGAACAGGAACTTAGCTCACTGTACCCTTCACACCACACAGTGTCAAACAGGGCACCAAATCCGTATGAACTTGCTAAAACACCTTCCAGCTACCAGATCCGGCTCTTCACACCCACCCTGGAAAGCAGGAGTTCATTACCTTCATTTCGCAGTTAAGAGTCTCAGGCTTAAAGGCTTTAAGTCACAGAGCTAGTTAATGCATCATAAATGCTAGACCAGGGATGAATATCATAGTGAGCTTTTTGGTAGCTCAAACAAAAAAGAAACACTAATGTAGATTACATCTGTAACACCAAAGATTATGTATCTGTAACTGTAATTGAAACATACTGAAATATTAGTGACTACCAGGTTTTCTATGTATTGTGCTACAAGGAAGCATCACTGTATAAATTTTGTTAAAAAGAACTTAAAGGGTGTGTTCCATAGTAGTTCAAACATTCTTGGTGACTATTTCCCACAGTAAATGTGAGGCTGTGTGTGCTAGGATCCTGCATTCTGAATACTGGTTTGGGGACAGCATTTCTGCCAGGTACACGAGTCCTCTTCAAATGTGGTTCAGGCTGGGGTTCTCTGCAGGTCCCGCTTCCTAGAGGAGTATGTTTTAGGCACACGAGGAGGCCTCCTATAGACACTGGTCTCCGTTTGGGCTATGAAGGGGCAGGGGTGTAGAAGGAAGATGATGACAGTTGGGAAGATGGCTTCAGTAAGCAAAGGGACAAAGCGGCAGACTCAGGACTGCCTGCTCCTGGGAAGGAGAGGGTGGGAAGCAGGTAAGGAGGAGAACTACAGGGAGGAGCCCAGAAAAATAGATGTGAGAGGCTGTGATTTGCTATGAATACCATCCAGAAAGAGCTTGACCTGAATTCCATCGGCAGCATGAGAGCCTGACAGCTCTTTAAAGAAGGGATGATATGTTAGTAGCCTTGTAGAGGAATGGGGTGGCAGACACCAAATCTGAATTTATTGAATTGTTCAATTGAGAGCTAAGGGGTAGAACTAGAATGGAGAGGAGAGGGTAGATTTTAGAGAAGGGTGCTTTTCACAGGATGACCTGCCTCTCCCAAACAGTAAGTCATGTGCTAAGATAAGCTATCAAGATTGTGAGAACTGGGGGCTGGGGATTTAGCTCAGCGGCATAAGTGCCTGCCTTGCAAGCAGGCAGTCATGAGTTCGATCCCCGGTATCTGTAAAAACGAAAAAGACCAAAAAAAAAAAAGATTGTGAGAACTTGCACAAATAAAATTGATTAAATAGTGGGTCATCAAGAAAACATCACTGTAGTTTCTTATTGTGTAAACAAAGCTCCTGTGTAATGTACTAAAATTATATTAGTAACGTGTGTAAGAGGAAAAGCTCAGTGTGTGTATGTGTGTGTGTGTGTGTGGTACAGGAGATCCTAGGGCCTTGTGCATGCCAGGCAAAGGTTCTACCACTGAGCTCTATCCTCAGTCTCAGAAATTTTTTTTTAATCTCCTAATTATTCAGTCAAAGAAAAGAAATGGTACAGTTGGACTGTTTACAAAATACAGAAGTGAAACCCTTATCTATCAAGTGTATGGGGCAAAATTAAATTTCTATCCAGGAAATTTTTTAGGTTAAAGCTTTTTCTTTTATTTGAAAGGAACACAATAAGTTAGAAAAAGAACAACAAAATGAAGATAAGAAATATAAAAGAAAATAATATGTTATTCATAGTATGTATATTTCTAGATGATAAGAAAAGACAAAAAGCTGTTCAGTTGATAATCCCTGATACCAAAACCCAGTGAAGAAATTCTCCTAAAATTAATAATTGAACAAGTGGTAATAGCTATAAGATTCTTAATTAAAATACCCCAGCAAGTTCTTAATCTGTAAGAGCACTTTCAAAACAACCCCAAAAGCAAATGAGCTCAGAAAACCCCCAGTGGAGATATAATAATTATATGGGGAGGGGTTTAAGCTTCATAAATAATCAACTTCTCAACTCAGCTAAAGATCTTACAAGAGGTAATAACCAGTGTTGACAAGGATATGTATATGAGGACATTTTTATACTCAGTGGATGGCAGGGGAAATGGCTCTTCAAAAAGTTGATGTCAACTTAGCAAAATATAATGAGCATTTTACACATTCATCTTTTAACCCAGTAATATCATTAATAGAATTATTTCTGAAGAAATAATTAGATTTGAGGTTAAAGAAAATAAATATTAAAAACAATCCAAATGGATTGTTTTAAGGACATTGTTAAGGTATGGTGAGTCTACATAACTGATTGCTGATTAGGGATTGAAACTGCATTTTTTTTTTTTTTTTTTTTGGTGAACCCAGTGTGTTACACATGCTAAACACATGCTATACTACCAAGCTATACTTCTCAACCAAAACCGATGCTTTCAAGATAAGTGACCTGTGTGCCACTTTGTGTGGATACTTTTAGAGTTTTGTTTTCTAAATTGTAGGAGCCTGGTATATAAAGTACAGAAGGGACAAAGTTTCAAAAAGGGTAGAAAAACCAGAGACTTTGTGCTCTTTCTCAGTCTGAGGTTCTCAGGAGCCAGGAAGCACTGCTGGTCACCAGAGAGGCAAAGGGCCCAGGTTTGGAGGGTCCTGGATGACACTGTAAGGAACCTGAGCCTATTCTAAGCCACGGAGAGCTAGTAAAGGCTGGTACGTGTTGGAATGAGCAGGCAGAACTCACTCCAAAATAGTTAGAGCCATAAGGAAGGGCAGGTCCAAAGCAGAGAAGCCTGAGCCAGCCAGCCACTTAGAAGCCTTGTAAGAGAACCCATCTCAGCCCTAATCCAGGACAGCAGAGGTTTGGTTGGAGGGTTGGACCACACATGACAGTCAGTTGGCTGGGTGGACAGGTAAGCTGAGACCCACAGGCCCAAGAAGTGACTCCCAGGTGCCTAGCTTTGGTGTCCCAGGAAGCACTGATGCTCCCAATGAGTACAGGCTGATAACTTTGGGTAACTCAGTGGTCAAACACCTGCCTAGTATGTGCAAGGGTTTTGGTTCAATCGCCAGCATTGCAAAAAATAAAACAAAATAACCATGAATTTTTATAAAATGATTCATCGCAGGTGAAACTGTGGAAAGAGAAACCTGTTGCCACTGGTGGAAGGATAAATTAGAAATTACTAAAGATGTATTCCCCCAGCATAATGTAACACCAGACTTTCAGCTTGCAAAGTGGAAACCCTTCCTAGAGACGCTAATTCCAATGTCATAGTTAGAGAATTCTTTAGGTTAAAACGCTTCCCCTCTTCGACCAAATGCATTTTCTCAAGTTGCTTCAAAAATTAAACCTCAAGGTGAATGAAGCTATTTAAAGTACATTTTGAGTACTTCCTGCTGAGTCATTACGATCCACGGAATCATAAAATTCATAAACGGGCGAGACATCTTGGGAAATGAGCAGGGCACATCTTGAGTCATTCTGTTGTTCGATCATACCTTGTAGGAGGTCAGTGGAATGGGGTCCTTATCGCATAGTCAAGCCAAATGCATGTAATATCCCAGATAAACT